GCGCCTCAGCAGTCACATTCCCACAAGCTCATATATGTGGCCGTATTAAAACAGCAGTTGCTTAGTTCGTTCTAATAAAAAACAAGTCTTATCGCAACCAACAACGCATGCACAAGCAATGCGGCCATGCTTTGTTTGGCAGTAAAAAGTAAAGATAAAACAGATCTAGAAAGCAATGCAGACCAGAGTTTCCGGCGCGTTCATGCATTTTTGCAGTCTGAAATTTGTCGCGTCTTTATGCGAGACGTTCATGTGCGTGAAAGCTACCACTATTTTTTCTGTGTCCCATAAAATTAGAAAATGTCCTCATGAAATTTCGGCTTAGTCGCTTGCCTGAATGACGAGAGGATAGGATAACGGCTGCGTTGCAACTTGAACTTTTGATATGTCGGTACGCAAGGCAGAGGCGTATGCGAAAGCACATTTTACGCTTGCTGGCCCCCCTATTAACAGAGCGCATTATCAAAAAAATACTCAATCCGGTTAGTGAATTAGCCGGATTCCAGTAAAATTATAAATTTCAAATTCAGCCTTAAAGTACGTTTAAGACTCGTGTGTGTTCGCTTGTGAACGCGCGAAACCTAGGGCATTCCATCAGCTCGCTTCACGAGTTGGCATTTAGCTACCGATATTTGGATGTTTCAGTACGTGTGTTGAAGGAGTATGTGATGGCTGAATTTGGATCTTTAATCCACACATTTCAGTTTCCTATCTTGCCTTGTTCCCAAAATCATTTCTCGCCAAAAGTTTGTTTTCTTTTTGTCGCCCATGTGCGAGACCCAAGCGTGCATGAATGGTAATTTTAACACGAACGGGATGAGCCATACTCCAAAAGTTTCAGCTTCTCAGAATCACTGGCTGCTTAGTTAAAAACTTTAGGCTGGAACGCACTAGGCTGCCGGTGCGATCATGCATTTTTGTTTTAAATTTAAAGCAATCAGGACGTTAACTATAAGAATGGTTCTTGCTTTACACTTACCTCGCAAATTATCGTAAATTTTGCATAAAAGAAAATGAACAATTTTCGTCGAGAATGTTCTTTCTTTAGAAATGAACTAATTGTTCAGTGAGTAATTTTCTCCGCCAAAACTTTCACATGCACGTACGTGAAGGCCACGCATATTTGGGGGCTAAATTTGAAGTCCTTTAGTTTTACGTGTACGGGGAATACCCCCTAAAATTTCAGCCTCCCAGCTTTTGTGGTCCCCGAGTTAGCAATTTCCTCGCAAAAA